CAGTCGCTGCTGAATGCCTCGCGGGCGGTGCAGGCGGCGGCGGCGCTGGTGGGCGCGGGAGCGACCTGTGAGTTGTGCGGTTGAGCTGAGCGATGAGGGGGGGCAAAAGCTGGAGGGGGAGGCTGGGGGAACGGAGCGTTGGGATGTGCATGGAGGTTCCGATGCTGGGCTTATTCCTGCTGCCCGCTTTCTAATACCTTCTTGTCAAAGACTTCTGAGGCAACTGAAGTATGGGTAATGCTCGCTAGCTGACCGTCACCCTTCTTCGCATCATTATGCCCCCCCCCGGTGCACTAAAAACCCATACACGTTTACCACTCCCCCCCCTCTGCATGTGCAGTGCTGGTTCCCTCCCCCACCGACGTGGCGGCTCAGAGCGGGGTGATGCTCCGGGGCCTAGCGGATGCCTACTACCGCCTGCCCGCCTCCACCCAGGCTGCTTTGAACGCGGCGGCGGCAGCGGGGTCTGCCAACAGCAGTGCTCTGACGATCCTGGGGCTGACCTCTTTTGGCAGCAGCGTGCGGGTAGGTATTAAGGAAACTGGTCTCGAGTTGGAACCGGCCGCGGGTAGGCGTTGCTGTGTTGCTGCTGTACGGCATACACGAGGAGCGCCGCATTATGGGGCGTCAAGCATAATGTCACACGATGCGACTACTTTGTTGCTCAGCTTCTGCAAAAGCATAGTGCATGGAGAGGGAGGGCGATGATGCCATGTTGATGAGTAACCTCCATTCCCCTGCGTAGGATGGCATTAGAATCGTAAGCAGCAACAGATCTGCAATCCGACATATAGCGCGCAGTAAGGAGACCAAAACAACCCCCCTCGCATCCGCAACACAGGCTGCCTCCACCAAGCTTCGCACCTTTAAATATGTTGGCCCAGACATCGCGGTTGCAGTACGGGGCCAACTGCAACTGCCAACCGCCGGGCTGTACGGTGTACGACTAACCACCTCTGCCCCGCTCGCTCGGTTGGCGGTTACGGTTGGGCAGCGGCGGTTGGCGTGGCCTGGCAAGGGCAGCAGCAGCAGTGGGGGCGTGGTGAGAGATGTGGTGTTGCAGGCGCCTCAGCTAGGTGGGTGGGGAAAGGGAGGGCGGGAAAAGAGGAAACAACTAACTGACTGAGGGATAAGGCGTCAACATGGGTGGGAGGGGTAGGTGGGATGGTGAGGGGGAGAGAAGCAGGCGGGGAGAGGAGGGCAAGGCTGGAAGGAGAGGGAGAGAGGGAAGAGAAAGATACCTAAAACTGTTAGTCGAAGAAGAGGGTGAAGGAGTGGTTGAGAGACCTTGCAGCGACATGTATTCCACCCACCCACCATCGCTACCGTGAACACAGCAGCACCGATAGCTATGGGGCTAGTCTCCAGACGGTCGCAGGAATAATCATACTTACCTGGCCCGTTTCTCGAGGTGGTCCAGTTGGCCTCGGATACACGGTTGGACTTCGCCTTGCACTGCGCGAGGGCCTTCCGTGGTCGGCCCTTCGGGTGTCCGGCAGGGCTTAATTTTTGCAAGGCTGAGGATCTGCGCACTGCGCGACCTCGGCACCCAATCCATAAACATATTATACGCACATCCCTGCATGTATTCTTCACATCTCCTTAAAATCAAGCCTTACCACGTGTTACCCGCCTGCGCAAATCTCTCAACATGCCTACCAAAATTGCGCAGGTTGGTACGACATTGAGATCCTGTACGCCAACTCCACTCTCCCCTTGGAGCTCTCCTGGGCACTACCCAGCGACCCCCAGAACTACACCTCCCTTCCGGACGGCTTGCTCCTACTTGGATCCATGTCTCGTCCAACTCCTGTGCCGTACGCACCCGCCAGCCTGCCCTCAACCGACACAACCGCCACCGGTTTCCAAATGCTCTGGAGCCCTTTCCCCACCGCTCCATCATCCACGGAAGATGATGGGGGCGAGAGCAGCAACACCACCAGCAGCTCTAACGGTGTCAGTTGGGATGCGGGGTTCCTGTCAACGGTAACCACCGGTAGTTACTTTCCGTACAGCGTGTTTGTAGATGACCTGGCATTCACAACGACCGGGTCGCTGGCAACAGCACTTGCGGGTGCGGGCAGCAGCGGCAGCGAAGGCAACAGCGGTAATGATGCGGGTATGGCAGTGGCGGCTGCGGAGAGCCCCATGTACGGCGTTGCGTTGGCGTACATTCGGGCGCCTGATGCGGGCCAGCCAATTGCATTCCGGGTAAGATACTGCAGGATAGTGGTTGAAGAAATATAGTTATTAGCGCCCTTAAGAGCGCAGCAACACCACCTTCCTAACCCACCTTCCGCCCCTCCCTCCCTCAGGTCACCTGCTCCCACTGCTCCCTCTACCTAAACGGCATGTTGGTGCACGAAACAGTGGACCCCGCCTCACCCGCCACCGCCCTCGTCGCCACTCGCATGAGCCCCTGCCTCACCCTCGACCCCTCCTACGCCGCAACCACCTCCGCAACCGCCAACGGTTCTAGTGCCACGTCATCAACCGCCATCTATCCGCTGCAGCTGCGCTTCGCGCTGTCTTCCGCACCCGCCAATGCGCTGTCGCTGCAATGGGGCTACTGCAGCAACGCCTCTTCGTCTTCCGGCTCTTCGTCTTCCTCGACTTGGTGGTCCCTCTCGCCGCTGTTGGCGGGTACCCTGTGGTTCCGTTCGGCATCCACCGCTGCAGCCGTTAGTGAGGGTGAGGAGAAGGAGGGGGCGTGTGGTGTTGACGGGACGGGAGGAAGGTACCTTGGGTAGGGATGAGGAAAAAGGAAGGTGGAGGTGCCATGCGCCTTGGGTCTCCCTGTACAGTTCCTTCTGGCTGCGCAGTCCTCAAAATTGCCTTGACTGCCCACAACATTTTCCAATCCTTTCCTTTTGTTAACACCCCACGCTCTTCCCACCTACCTGCACCGCCCCACCGTATCCACTCTCCCCGCAGGCACCTCCCCCGCCTCCCTCTCCGGCGCTCCCCTGCCCTCCGGCGCTTCCGCATCGTTGCAGTGCGACGTCTGGTCCGCCGCCTCCCTCACCGCACCCGACCCGGGCCAGCTAGCCTCCCTACCGAGACCCGAGGTGCAGACCCCCACCTACAGCTTCCGGCTCCCCTCGCCCGCCGCCTCCTACATTCCCTGCGCCGTGGGCAGCTTTTGCCCTGCTGGCCAAAACCTGACGCTGCGTCTAGCGGTGAGGGAGGCGGTGGTTGGTTGGGTTTTGAGGGTTAGGACGAACAACGTGGTATACCGGTAGGCGGGATGACAAGATGCCGGTTGGATGAACGACGCGGGCGATTTGGTTAGATCCTGTTACAATAACCCAAACCCGTTGGAAGGCCGATAGGATGCAGCTTTCCCCCCTGTGCCCCCTCTTCTCCCCGACCCCACCTCTCCCCGACCCCTCCCCACTTCTCCCCACCTCTTCCCCTCCCAGGACATCTACCCCGCGCTGTCCAAGACCCCCTCCGAGCGCTTCTTCCTGCGCTGCTGGGGCTGGTGGTCGCGCAGCTGGGCGGGCGGGCTGCTGGTGGTGCGATCCTCGGGCACTCTTAACAGCGCGGTGTATGTGGCGGGGCAGCGGGTGAGATGCGGAGGGGGGGGGGCGGGAAGAGGGAGGAGGGAAGAGGGAGGAGGGAGGGATGCCGCTAAGGAAAGGTAGGCCATCCAGAACGGGTTCATGCGTCTTGCTGTCATGTGGCTTCTCCCCTGCAGCAGCCGCTGCACAAGGGCTGCTGTGTGACCGTTGTTTACCTCCCTTTCTTTCCCCCATCCCTCCTCCCGCCCGCCCGCAGGTGTTCTACTCCCTGGACTCCCTGTACGGCGAGCCCACCAACCGCCAGTCCCGTGCCCCCAACGCAACCTCCCTGGGCGGTACCTTCGCGCAGCTCCTAGCGCTGGAGTGGCACGGCGTGACGCCGCTAGCCCGCCTGTCGGTGGTGGATGGCAGCACCAGCACCTCTCTCGCACAGCCCAGCTGGGCGGTTGCGGAGGTGTGGGCGCCGGTGAGGGGGTAGCGGGTAGGGCTGGGCAGGCGGCGGAGGGGGAGAGGGCGAGAGGGATAGGGAATGGTGGATGGTGGATGGCTAGGCAAATGAAGAGGAGGAGTGGAGAGAGAGGAAGAACGAAGAAAGGCGGAGGGACTTGCTTTGGCTCCTTGGAAAATGCGGTACTTGTGCCTGGTGGGATGTAGAGGTTCGGTGTGTGTGTATAGTGAACCTGGGGCCGTGCCAGGCGGAGAAGGCAAGGCAAGGGGAAAGTGTGGCAGAGGGATAAGGTAGACTAATCCGCGGGGAGGGACGTGGGGCGTGCAAGATAGGTAGTGGTGAGGTGGTCAATTGGAAATGGGGTTGTTTGCAGGGCTGTGAGGAATGTTTAGGAATGTATGCCTGGACCGAAGCGGTACGGACATCCCAGCAGCAAAACGAATGAAGAGTAAGAAGATGGGGGACAATGAAAGATTGATGAAAGTAGGCGCCGCCTATCTATGTGGGAGTGTGCATTAGGGTAAATGTGTTTGCGTTTGTTCCAGGGCTCGCAGGTTTGCGTTTGCATGCATGTGCGCGCATGCAACATGGGAGTTTTGCATGCTATGGCCTAGGCTAACTATTGGACCGCGCGAGTATGCATTGACGTGGTTTGGGCGCCGCGAGGTGTCAAGAGGATTGCAGACGTTTAGATAGACGTGGTTCTCGCGGGTACCCTTGCAAGGACGAACGTTGCGTTCGTCATTGGCAGCATCGTGTTACGCTGGAAGACCCATGGGTCAGTATCCGCAGGACCCCGGGGTCCAAAACGAGCGGTGTGCGAAGCTGCTTAACAGGCGTCATCGGAAAGCGCTTCTTGTATCACAAACAGTTGCTGTTGCGAAGGCTTTGATGGGACTCCTACAACCTCCTGTGTGCTGCTGTCCTAGCGAGGGTGTCATGACGTATCACGTGCTGTTGCGACGGAGGCCCGACAGTACAACTCCCCCCCCAGCTGAGAACCCGGAGGTCGGAAGCTGTCTACAGCGGCCACAAGCAACACACAAACACAGCGCACCAGAACTGACAGCAAAGTAGCACAGCAACCTCTGCATCCCCTTCAACACGCGCCTACTTCACTTCAGCAACCAGACCTCATTTCGTCCTACAACCGGTTTCAACATCCTCTCCCGCCACTCGCGAGTGGCAAACACGCAAACCCACACACACCGCCTCCCCATCGGCCCTCTTGGCAGTCCCAGCAACAACGCAAGCCGTCCTTCCTCCTGCAGCTTCGCCAGGTACTTGGTCCGAGCCGCCGTAGCATCCGTCACGTAGTGCCCCGGCACGTGAAACGCAACGACAGGTGCAAAACGGGTAGCCAACGGCAGTGCAACATCAAGCACCGCAAACCAAGGAGACGCAACAATGGCCTCGTAGGAATAGACCTTCATAGCCTCACGGTACGTGCCAGGCTGCAACGCGTCACGGTGCATGTGAGCAACGCAAGCAGGGTTGGCGTCATTGCCAAAGACCGAGTGTCCCGCCTCGCGAAACGCCCTGGCGACCCCACCTGTTCCACACCACGGGTCGAAGATGCCCGCACACTCATCAAAACGAATGCTCTCCAGCAAAGGCCTCACCTCCTCAATCCCCGTGGGTACACACTCATACTGAAACTGCTTGCCCCCTGGCACACGGTTAACCAACCTGCCCAGGTGGCGATCACTGTAAGCCCCCGGCATGAGCTCCCCCATCGCCGCACTCAGCCCCTCACGCGAAGTTAAGTCCCAGCTATCCGGGAGCCGTGCAGCACGGGTAGTTGCCACAGTACGGAGGGTGCGGGCTGCGCCCCAGGCTGACTCCTCGTCCAGAAGCAGCTGCTGCGCCACGCTGACGTTCATGCGCTCAAAAGCTCCTCCCCCGTACTCCACCATCACTCCAGCGTAGTCCTCCTGGACCTCCTCCCCGTTGATCACGCCTATCTCCTCCCTCAGGCAGAGCGTCTTCGGATCCTTGACTGACCTCCTCAAGACGCGCCCCTGGAGTGCCTCAGCGGCCTTGGCGCGCCTCCTCTGCCTGGCGGAAGGGAACAGTTGGGGAGCGGGAGCAGGTGCGGGTACCAGCGGCTTGGCATCAATCTGCTGCGGGGTCACTCCTTGCTCGACGCAATCCGGGCAAATCCAGGTCCCTTTGGGCACCTTCTTGACGGCTGGCTTCAGGCAGTGCATGTGCCACCCGGAACCGCACGAGTCACAAAGCAACATCTTGCTCGGCTGGTCCGGGAAGCCACAGATTTCGCACTCCAGGTCCAAGGGCGGCACAGCAATGCGTGGGTCTACGATAGGATCCAGGTCAGGCAGATGACAGGGCGCAAGCCGTGTCACATGCTCCTTGCGCTCGGTCCCACAGCGGCCCACCAACGTAGCTACACCGTTGGGATCCACTGAGACGACTCGCAGCACATTCTCCCGCACCGGCATCTGCAGCGTGCTGTTCGTGTTGTTCAGCATCACGTACACGTAGTCCCCAGGTTCAAACCGTTCGAACCGTGGCTTGTATCCCCCGGCGCGCTTCCTAGCGTACTGATAGCAATCACGGTGCTGGGCAATCAAGAGGTTCCCAGCTGCGGCAGGGATCGCGTGCCTAAGTGCCTCCCCCCTAACCTGAAGGAAACGTTTGAACTCCTGTTCGTTGGTCGGGTCCAGGGGCTCCGCGAACCTCTCACGCACTGCAGGCGGCACCACAGGATCCACCCCGTACAGCAGAAAGTACGGCGTCATTCGTGTGGACGCCTGAGGAGAGCAACGGTAGCCCAGTGCCATCCATGGCAGGAACTCATCCCATGCTTGAGCCCTACCCTCCTGCGCGCAGTACTTTCGCAAGCCTCGCTTGACCACCTGCACAATCCGCTCTGCTGCCCCATCGGTCTGGGGGTGCTCAGCGGACGTTTCACGGTGATCAATGGCGCACTGCTCCAAGAGCGCTGCGAACTCCCCTTGCCATTCCGCGCCCCTATCAGTCAAGACCTCGGCAGGTGCAGAGAAACGGGCTAGGACATTCGATAGGAAGGCCTGCGCCGTGCTCTTCGCTGTCTTGTCGGGCAACGGAATCAACTCAATGTGTTTGCTGAAGTGCTCAATCGCCACCATCACGTACCTGTCTCCACGTGCTGTCTCAGGGAATGGCCCACACAGGTCCACACCCCAACGATACATGGGTCCCTTGATGGGCAAAGGCTGCAGCTCCTCAGGACGCACGTTGCCAGTGGTGTTTGCCCTGTCGCAGAGCTTGCACCTTGACACCACTGAGGAAACGTCAGCATGCATGCCACTCCACCAATAGCTCAGTTTGATCAAGCCCGCGGTACGGCGCATTCCAAAATGGCCCAGGCGCCGGTGGCTTTGCTCAATCAGCGCCTCCCGCTGCTCAGGCGGAGGGCAGATGCGAGTTGAGCTATTGGCCATCAGCCTAAGCAGTTCCTGCCCCTGGAAGCGGTAAGATCGTGCCCGACGCAACACCCTCTTCAGCTCCACGGCATCCACGCCCTCTGGGGCGGCCATGTTGCGAAGGTAGTGCAGGGTATTCGCGTCATCCCACACATCCGACAGGTTGGTTGGCTGTGCATCCAGGAGCTCAGCTACAGCTGCCGCATGCTGGGTGCACTCATACAAGCTGACGTCACTGGCTGTGAGCATGATCAGGCTGAGCCCAAGCGTAGGCAGCCCAGCTTCCAGTGACTCACCACTCCCCCCCAGCTGGGAGGCCGTAGCTAAGTCATCATGTGCCCACCGTGGCTGGAGAGTTGCCATGTGGTGCGGGGTAATGTAGGCTTTGTGCAGGGCTTCAGCCCACGCTGCTAGATGAGATACCACCGGCGTGGCTATCCCGCTGCGTAAGGCTTCCTTTCTCAGGTCATCCGTTGCACCCTTGGCGGCCGTTGTCCCTGACCCGTAACCTAGCACTCTTTCAAGCTCACTGATGCGGAGCGGTCGTTTGGTGATGTTACCAGTGGATTCAGGTAGGCTCACTCTAGTGCTCCACAGGTCTCCTGGAGGTACGACAGCACAGGGTTTGCCGGGTGTGTTGCGTGGAAAGTGGGGGCTTTCCTCCGCTTTCTGCGCAACGGGCAACTGTCCTTGTGCCACCTCCAGGCAGAGCCGTAGGTCGTGCATGCCTTGAGTCACCTGACCATGTGTTTTAGCTATGCTGTGAAGGTGTTGAGTGTCAGCCAGGTTGGTATGATACACCATGAGTGCGTGCCTGGCCTGACCCAGCTGAGCAGTGTCAACCAGCAAGGTGGGGCCAAACGAGTCTGCCCACTGCATGCCTGGCTGAGCTTCAATGACGTAGGCAGGTGGCATGCGAGGCTGAAGACGTTGCAGGGCACCTAGTAGGTTTCTCACGCCGTGCACGTCCTCCGGTTTGGCATCCACAAGGCTTGCCGTGACCATCCACTGCTCGCCCTTGTCTGCTGCTACGCTTTTAAGATCTGCTTCTCCCAGTCGTGCGGAGGGTGGCCAATGGAACACGTGGTTGATGGCTCTTGCCATCAGCTGTTCGGGGTACTCAGCACGCAGTAAGGCTAAGCGGTGCCTAACTATGATTTGCTGGTCGGGTGTGTGGCCGTGTACGAGATAGCGACGTACACGCCATCCAGCCCGCAGGACTGCTTCCAGCCCAGCGGCATGGCCCCCGCCGTACTCCAGTACAACTAGGCCTTCGGTGTGCGCGCGGTCTAAAAAGTGATGGGACACTAGAGTGGTGTTCAGCGAGACTGTGTCTCCTGGTTCTTCCTGAGTCCCCATCACCGTTTGTGGTCTTGGCGCATGTGCTGCAATCCCCCTAAGAGCATGACGCTGTTCCCTAGCCAGTTTGTGAGCCCCCCGCTTCAACGCACCAGTGCGCTCCTGCGCCTTGGTGAGTCCATCTACCGCCGGTTGTTCAGCGCTGTCAGAGGCGACTCCATTGCCTCCGGACAGCAGGTCGGTTGCCGTGGGCGCCAGAACCGAGGCGATTGTGTTTTCCTCGGCAGCTGCGGCCATCACGGCGTGGTGCTTATCCAGCTGCATTCGCGACTTCAGGGCTATGACATCCGTGACCGTCTGCAGCATGGCCACCGACCCGGTAACTAGCGGCGCTCCTGCGGTTACTCTAGCTGGGTGGGGTACTAACTTTGGCGGCTGGGGCACGGGATCTGAGTCGTCATCCATGCGAGCACCCGTTCCATCCTCAGTGGTTGGCAACGGGCTGCGGCTCAGCGCGTCTGCATTGTTGTGCAACTTTCCCGGCCTATGAGCTACGTCAAAGGTGTACTCCTGCATGGTGAGTGCCCAACGCGCGTACTGTCCTGTCAGGGCCTTGTTTTCCATGAGCCATAGCAGAGGCGCATGGTCGGTTACTAGGACGAAGGAGGCCCCAAGGAGGTATGGGCGCATGATTTTCATGCCCCAGCATGCTGCCAGCATTTCCCCCTTGTACGACGTATAGTTGCGTTCGTGTTCGTTTAGCGAACGGGAGGCGCATGCCACCATATACTCGTTTCCATCGTCATCTAGCTGCCCTAAGACGGCACTAACCCCTAACGTGCTGAAGTCAGTGTGTAAGATGCACGGGCGCATGGGGTCCATCCTACGTAGGAGGAGGCCTGGTTCTGCAAAGCGGCGCTTAAGGTTGTCAAATGCGGCCTGGTGTTCTGGTTTCCAGGTTTCACTGTTCCAGATGGTGGACTTGGTCGTGAGCCTGGTGAGCGGTGCTGCCAACTCACTGTACCGGGGTAGGTAGCACCGGTAGTAGTTGCAAAGCCCTAACACGCTCAACAGCTCGGTCGCATTCGTGGGCGGCTTAAGCGCTTGTATCGCTGCTATTTTCGCTTGCATGGGTCGTAACCCGTCCGCACTCACCATGTGGCCAAGGAACTCCACCGAATCCGCTGCGAAGACGGTCTTGTCCGGGTGCAGCCGCACGTTAATGCGCTTCAGCATCTCCAGCACCAGCCGTACATGCTGAATGTGTTCTTCTGCGGAGTTTGAGAAGATCAACAGATCATCCACGAAAGCAACACAGCAGTGCCCGAGGCCCGCCTTGCGGATCTCCGTGTCCATCATGCGCTGAAACTGAGCCGTGGCATTGCGCAAGCCGTACAGTGTCCTAGTGTACTGCCACAACGAGTTGCGCCACCAAAAGGAGGTTTTCTGCCTATCTTCTTGGCGCAAGGGGATCTGATTGAATGCGGCACGGCAATCACACTTTGTGAACCAGCGTGCAGGCCCTATGCGTTCAAACAGCTCTTCCGGGTTGGGAGGCCGGTAGAGGTCAGGAGTGGTGGCGGCGTTTAAGGCTCTTGCATCCAGGCAATAGCGCCGCTCAGTCCAGGACCCATCTGCCGCCTTCTTAACCGGCATGGTGCTGTTCATTGCATACTGCGAGCTGGTTGACGGTTCTATGATGCCTGCGTCCCTAAGCTCTGCGCACTTCTCATCCATGAGCTCATACTCCTTGTGGGAGTACCGTCTGGGGGGCTCATAGATGGGCCTACTGTGCGAGAGGTGTATGGTTGCTGGCCCGCACTCACCGTTGTAGCAGCCCAGCTCCTTCAGGGAGCGGGCAAACACCTGATCATTGGCCCGGACCAGCTCCTGCAGCTGCTGTCGTTGCTGCGGGGTTATGTCCGGACGGTTGCACCAGTAGTAGCCTCCGGTCTCGTCTCTCTGCAGGGTCGAGGCATGTGCAGGGTGACGCAGGCCGTCCGGGGCCGTGAGGTGTGCGGGTGAGTCAGTAGCCAAGGCTGCGGGCTGCGCGGTCTTGTCGTGCGCGATCGTGAGGGTATGGTACGCACGTTGCAGGATAACGGCAGGTGGTAGGGGTGTGAGCACCCCGCCAAGGGGTTCTGCCTCATACTGCGTGGAAAGTGGTCTGTGCGGCGGTGAGCTGCCCTGGTTGACACACCAGGCGACTAGCATGAGCGTGAGCAGTGGCCCTAGCGACCGAACCGCCCTGGCCGTCCCCTTGCCCCATGCTGCGGGCGACGGCATCGCCTCGCGTTTCTCACGCCACCAACCACCCCAATTGCGACCTGGCTCACGTACCTGCTCCTCCTGTCGCTCCTGCGACAGCGGGAGGCCTGCCCTGAGCGCACGCAGCTTCTTTTTGTAGGAGCTGACTGCCTCCTTCCGCAGCCGTGCAGCCTGCGCAGCCGCAGCCTCCTTGGCTGCGCTCTGCCGCAGCTTCTCCTTCCGCAGCTTCTTGAGGTGCCGCCGCTTCAGGCGGCGCGCAAGGGTCCGTTCCCAGCTGCGCTTCCACGCAAGTGAGTCCCACGGCTCCTGGTGCTGCCGGAGGGCCTCAATCTCATCTGCCATGCCGGGCGGGTCGTCGTCCTCCTCCCCAGCATCCAGCCCCTCACCGGCATCCGGTGGCAGCGGGATGTCGGCGGCCCACTGCTGGACCGCCAAGTGCTGCGGGGTGACGGCCAGTGAGGTGACCCAAGGGTCAGTGCTCCTCGCTGGGGTTGCTCTGCGCTGGCTGGGGCTGACGGAGGGTTGCGGCGTCTCCATCAGCATGAGCGTGGGTCGAGTTGCCTCGTACGAGTGCAGCGGGCGCGTCACCCACTGGTTGGCGCCCGGTGGGAGCAGTTCGACTAACGCGTGGGGCCCACACGTGATGCGGCCGTTGGTAGCGTCCAGGAACGCCCGCCCTATCACGACCGCGGCTGGCAGATTCGAGAACACCAGCAGGTCCCCATAGAAGTCGTGGGGGCGGCGCCCATCGAAGAGGCTGATGGCGCCGTTGGGTACGTAGCCTACTGCGTAGGTCGAGCTGCCTGCCACCTGCACAGGCATGGGCTCCCGTACGAACGGCACCCGGGCGTGCTCCACCCAGGCGTGATCCACGGCACCAAGGAAGCTGCAGCCCGTGTCGAAGGCCACATGTGGGGGCGTGCGACGTTCCAGCTCCCTGTCCATAGAGGGCTTGGACCCCACGGTGATGACGGGCGCGGCAGAGAGGTCCTGGGCAAAGCTGAGCAGCGTCCGTTGCTGGGTGCCGTGCTGGTACGCTTGCAGGCGCCCGAAGACACTTGCCGATCCTGCTGCCTGCGTGAGCACTGGGGGACCCCTTCCGGGCGGCGCCTGCCCCCAGGGGTGACCCCGCGCATGCTGCTGGCACTCTCGCGGGGGCGAGCGGTCCCTGTACCTCGGTGGCGGCGTCGGCGGTCTGCGCTCTCGAGAGCTGCGTCGTTGACGTTCACGTGAGCGCTCCCTGGAGCTGCGCCGCTGGCGCTCACGTGAGCGTTCTCGGGAGCGGTCGCGGTCGCCCTCATGGGGCGGCGAGCTGGGGGTTCCGCTGATCTCACGCTGCAGGTGCCTGAGGTAGCAGTTCTCCGTGCTGTGGTGCTGTCGCTGGCGGCACCCCGGGTGTTGGCAAGGGCCCGTGCCCTTCGGCATGTCGGGGTACAGGACCCTGCCTCTCCTCAGGAACCCCTCCCGGTGGTCAGCCTTGTGAGCCGCTAACATGGGGCCCGCATTCTGTTGCAGGAGGGCTCGGCGCTTGGCGTCCTGGATGTGGCTAAGGTCCAGGGCGTCCTGACGCTGTTGGGCGGGTTCCTGCTGGGGGCCCTGCCGCCGGTTGCCTCCTGAGGTGGCGGCGCCCGCGTTGGCGGCAGGCGTCCGTACAGCTGGTGGGGGCGAGGGCACTGCTGGCCGGCTGGGCTGGGAGGGGCCGGCAGCAGCAGGGTCGGCTGCGGGGTCAGCTGCGGGTTCTGCCAACAGCAGTTCTAGATCCTCGTCCTCGGCCTCTCCCCCCTGCTCATCCATCGGCTCATCGTCATAGTCCAGCTCCTCTTCCTCCGTCGCGTCCCCTTGGGCGGCGCGGGTCATGAGGACTGAGGGTGTCCGCTGCGACGTTGCACGGACGGCGGAGGCAAGCTCACAGAGGCGCGCCTGAGCGTCAGGGGCGTCCGGTTCCTCCTTGTTGACAGTGGGCAGCACGACAGTCTGCGGGGGTTCGTCAGCACAGCGGTCTAGGTTGAGGATGTACGACACCGACGGCTGGGGGAAGCTCAGGGTGGAGACCCCAAGTGCATGCATGCTGCTCTGCCCCCACAGGAAGTCGAACAATCCCCTAGCCACTGCGTCCTGTACGACCAGGGCCTCCTGGCGGCTGCGGCGTTCATAGGGTGTGCCGGGGCACAGGACGACCTCCAGGCCCCCCTTGACCCGACCCAGACGGCTAGTGCGGCCCCCCACGGTCACAACTGCGTGGGCATCAGGCTCTACCGTGAACTCACCGCTGTCGGCCACGTGCTGTGCTATCAGGCACACGTCGCTGCCGCTGTCGACCAATGAGAGCTTGGGCCGCACCAGGCGCTGTCCCTTCCCCACCGCAAAGTGCTGCGAGGACACGTACTGCAGCGCTCCCGGGCTCTCACGGTACCTGCGCAGGGCATCCATGCGCTCTGACTTAGTCAGCTGCGCGAACTTGCTTAGCGTCAGCACCCCAGGCGCGTGGATGGGTTCACACGGTCCGAAGCTGCAGCTGACAGGTGTGGTCGCGGCTGCTGTGGGTGGTCCGAGCGGGCCAAAGGTGTCCGCCCCCCACTTCGTCGGGATGGCCTCCAGTCGTAGGGAGATGCCCTGCGACCCCTGCCACTGCATGCGCTGCACGGCGTCACCCACCGTCACCTCCAGGACGATCTCCTGGAGGCCGTAGCGGTTGAGAGCGGTTGGCTGGCTAGGCTGCACAGGGCGTTGCAGGAAGCCGGCTGGAAGGCGCTCACGAGCGGCAGCGGCGCGCTGCACGTCGTCAGGCTCCTCCACAGCTGAGGGAACGCCACCCGTTGGGGCCGGCTCTGCTACCTCACTTGCGGCGGTCAGCACCTCAGAAGGGCTGCTGCCGTTGCTGCTTGGGGTTTCCTGCGGCAGGCTGGGAACGGCGTCTAGCCAGGCAAACTGGCGATCTGCCAGCGTCACGGCGCCACAAAACTGCGCCTCATCCAGCGGCACGTCCTCAGCTGCTGCGGCGGCGGCGACGACTGCCGGCTTCTTCAGGAGGCCCGGCGGTATGGGGATGTTGTTCTTGCGGCTGAGGTCAACATAGCACCCTTCGGCGCCATGGTGGGCTGGAAAGGGGCAGCCCGGCACCGTGCAGGGCCCCTGGCCCTTGGGCGCGTCGGGGAAGCGCCTCTTCATCTCCTCCCGCCAGTTGCTAAACAAGCGCCGGTTGCCGGACTGCTCCTGGGGCTGCCTGCGACCCCCCGCGCCGTCACGGTGGCCACCGCCCCCGTCACGGTTCTGCCGTGGCAGTCGGGAGCTGACGCTGGCGGTGTCATCCCCCCTGTCGAACCCACGCTGATGGTGCCTGGAGGAGTGGCCAGCATCCCGCTGCGCCCCCCCCCTGGCCCCCCCACCGTTGCTGGCGTTGCCGGTGACGCCCATCGACTGATACTGGGCCATCTGCTGCCGGAGCTGGCTCAGTTGGCGGGCCAGTTCCTCCACAGTGGTGGTGGCGGCTGACACGCTGGGCTTGGGCTGGGAGCGCACGTGGTGGTCCGGAAAGTTGTGGTAGGCCTGCGCTAACTCCATGATGCGCAGCACGTCATATAGTGTCGTGTTGCTGCGCAGGAGCTCCCCCTTCACGAAGCGAGCCATCTCGTCGTCCGAGATCCCCTTGAGGAAGAACTGCCCGAATGTGTGATCTGTGTAACGGCCCGCTGGGGCGCGCTCCTTCAGGGTGATGAAGCGGTCGTACGCCTCCTGGGGCGCCTCCCCCTTCTGGAACCTGAACTTCTCAAGCTCATCAACGGCTGCTACATCCATCGTGCGGAAACGGGCCTCCAGTTTGGCAAGCATGAACCACAACAACACGGGGACCTTGGTCCCAGCTGCGGTGGTGTAGCCCTGCCCTGTGTAGGTGATGGCGCTGCCCAGCAACGTGTACCCTTCCTGGTGTTGCTGCCGGATGTTTTCCTTCTGCTGATCCATCCACGTGGCGACGGGCGAGTTCAGGTCTGGGGCCCCGCTGGTG